CATGCACTACACAGTTCGAACGAGAGAGGGTGGCAAACATGGGGTCCTGATCCCGCTTCACGCACGAATTTTAAAAAAATTCATGCATCACGTGTACTTTAAGCAGCTTTCTTCTTGTATGCGAGGTTTCGATGATTTCTTGAGATTTTCGCGAAAGGAAAAAATTCACGAGTCACGTATACTTCAGGATGCAAAAAAAGCTTCTCTCTGGTTCATAACTTCGCGTATAACGCTCGCCTCTCCGGTGAAATTCACGCCTTAATCACGCGTCTCTTATAAATCAGGGTGCCCGTAGAATCCCAGTTATTTTATAAATGCTAATGTCCCCCTACTTACAAACGTCCCTCTGATGTTGCCACTGAAGCAATTCTCCTGTCTGTGTCTTCATGAGAAAAATTTTTTTTTTTGCCTTTGGTGATTTTCAGTGAATGGCTCAGAGGATCTCGCCCTCCTTAACGATGGACTAGTGTTCGTGTCTTCTGTAAGTTTCTGCTGTTGTAAATTTAGACATCTCTGTTTAGGAGTTGGTCATCATTCCTTCGAGCTGTCTTAGCTTAATTTTTATTCCATTTTATAGAGGTTCAGTTGTATGAAAAAAATTTGTTGGCCTATTTGCAGAGCGTAAACAATATTTTTGTAATAAAGATGTCTTAATTTTTAATCCAGAGGGAGAGGGGGAAGGGGGTAAAATGCAGCCCAGTACCCCTCGATACAACGTTCGCCTTCTCGTCAGACCCAGTCAAGTCTGTTCTAGGTGTTCAGGTTTAAGTTAGAACAGAGTGCGACAGTAAATGATGCTTTATCAGCGGCGGAGCGTTGATAGGAGGGAGGATTGGGTCGAGTCGTTGGGAGGTCTAAATCAGACCTCCCTCGTTTTTTCTCTTCAGCCGCTGGTATCGCGCTTCGTTTCACTAACTGAACGCTTGGAACAGGCTAGACCCAGCCTTGACACGCGGGCGAGAATAAAAATTTGACGTTTGATTTCTGAAGATATTTGACTTAAACTTGGTGAATTTGTTTCATATTTATTTAATAGGGACTTCGTTACAGGCTCAGCATCTCGTATGACCCAGTGCTTGACACGCGTGAGGGCAAAATTTTGACGTTTGACTTCAACAAAGCCGATAAAAATCCAGTAGAATTGACGCTAAAGAATTTCAATCGTTCGGGGTTTAACCCGCACGGGATCAGCGCGTATCAGGATCCATCTTCTGGCGCGGTTTCCCTGTTTGTCATAAACCACCGACCGGATGCCCAAGCCATTGAAATATTTGACTTCGAACGGGAAACTCACTCACTGATTCATCGGCGCTCTGTGGTGAATGAACTGATCTGGAGTCCAAATAACTTACATGCAGTAGGTATGTGAAACAAGTAGCCATGCGATCTTTCGGAGAGAAAAAAAAAGTTCTATATAGACCTATTGAATAAACAAATTTTAATATAACGAGCATACTAACTTAAGCGCGACGAAACACAAATGGGCGATCAACTTCAGTCGTGCATCTAATTGATTAGGAGATAAGACAGATCACGAGTAAAGTATGGCAAAAAAATTGCAACCCGGATTTTTAGGCTCAGCCTATGCTATGCGAATATGCATGAAAAATACATTGTTCCCAGACTGATATTCATGGAGAAATACAGATGTGTTAATCAAGCTAGTGATATGGGCCAGCATGTATGAGCGTGAAAATAGTTCTTGCGTGCGGCTCTCTCTCGCGCGCACTTTCCCAGCCTGCAAACAAGCCCTTCTTATTCGCGCTGCAAGACGTGCGTTTCTCCGTCCGCAGGAAGATTTTAGACGAGACGAGGAGAGGTTTGTTGGGGTTCAGGTACCACTAAGTCTGCTAAACCATGGTAGACCTCTCGTTAACTCACGTTGCTTGAAGGATTATACTTTCCCGCGGGTAAAAAAGAAATACTCGTGCCAAACCGCTAATTAGGCTTAATTTAGCACCATTGTTTTAATCTTGTGTTACTTATGAACTCTAAGTGAATCTTGGAGAGACTTGTGACGAAAGCACTTTTGATGGGTGGTTGTTTGAGGTTGTTGAATCCTGGATCCAGATACTGAATTTACCCATTTAGGGCTCTACCCTCCCTAGGATAGAGAGAGAGTTTCTTGTATAAGCTAAATATGATGCATAGAGGAATGTAAGGATTGTTTTTAGAACTGCATATCGAGCTTGGCTGCCCGTGCATTACTTAAACTAAACTGTACACGCAATTTTAAGTGGACCTCTCAACTGTCTTTTTAGAGATAGTGCCATCATTGCTTCTCTGTATGTTATTTTTTCAGGTCCAGATGCCTTTTACGTGACAAACGACAATTTGTTTCGATATGGGACAGTACAGCAATTGCTATATATGTATATTTTAAACAACTTCTTTGCCTCAAATATTGTGTATTTCGACGGATTTAAGGCCATCGAAGCGATGAGTGGAGTCCATCCTAACGGCTTAGCCATGGATAAAGACCAAAGGTAAGCGTTCAGTTTTGATGCGAACTGATTACATTTAGCCTTTAACTCCCATGAGCGGCCAAGACAAATTTCTCCCTACAATTTCTATATACAATAAGTGATGAGAATAAAGAAAAACTTTCAAATAGGGGATTATTAGTTGATCCAATACTTACAAATTGTCCAAACTAAGATTTAAAAAATTGAATGGCATTTTGACTTGCGGATGATATACTAGTGAGGAAAATATCCACGCAAGTGAACTGCAAAAATTAAATGAATCAGTGATGGATAAACTGTTGAAAGGGGGCCAGAAAAAAATCCAGGCTTCGACGGGATTCGAATGCGCGCCTCAAAGATACCAGATCAGAACGCCTATCCTTATAAAAACGCACACCCTTTGTTAGGATTTGACAAATAATAAACAGGTGAATGAATAGACAAATAAACTTGTGAATATACAAAAAGTAGGTGATCGAATTATTAATATTCCTAAAAAAAATGGGAGGACTTCTCGTAAAACATGTTTAAGTCCGTGTGGACCTGAGGGGAACGGAAATAGTATGTTATACAGCTTCTTCTTTACCTCTTTATTTTTTGTATGTTTTCCCTCAATTTGTTAAACAGCAGCCTTTGCAAAAGATGCGTTTGATATTCTACTTAAGCTAAACTGTAATCCTTTTAGTTTTGTCTTTGCGTCTGCAACCCATGATAACGGTGTGGCAGTTTACAGACGTCGTCGTGACAACACCTTGGAGGCTTCTCAGGTGGGTCACTTAAACGAAAAAAAAATTATGATTTAGAGTATTTCCTTTGGCTTAGTTTTTCCAGGGAGAAAATTGCTTACTTTTAACCAAGCTTAAGAAGCATCATTAACAGTGTTGTGACCATTGAGATCATTGGCATGACGTAGTTTACAAGGTCACGTCTCCGTTTTATCATTCGCAGAACGAGTTTGTGAATCCACTAACACCTAAGATTTTATGCACGATTCTCCCTTCTTGCTGCTATACATTTCGCTGTAAATAAATCAAAAGAATTTAATGTAGCAAAGCTGGTTGTAGTGATCGGTTCTCCCTGGTTGAGGAGAGATTTCATGAAATAAAACCAGTGTCGTTTTTCTGGTCTGTGCTGTGTGGTTTTCTCCTATGACTCTGATTTTTAATTAAAATGGCACAGGCCCATTTATTCTTGTCTCTATTTTCCTGTCTGTTGGAGAATAAGAGCTATCTACTTAAGTATAAGTCACTTCGAGAAGCTGAAAGGTCAATTGCTATGGTCTTTTATTCCATCATTTTGTTATTTTTATTGTGCAAAATTAATGAAACTTGTGAACGTGATTTGGGGTCAGATTGCTAGCATCATTAACGATGCGTACGGGACTTTGAGCACGATACTCAACGAGCTTGCTTGAAAATTCCGAAAGTGATCTAAAGAGTCTCTAAGTCGAGACGAACCGCAGCGTCATACTAGCTGCGAACTATTATCACCAGTATATTTGAAAATTTTTATTGTATATTTTCTGTATGCAGGTGATTAAAGTTGGAGCACATGTTGACAACATTAATGTCGATCCTGTTACCGGGAACCTTTGGTTGGCAACAATACCGAAAATTCTTGACATCGTGGCGTACTCAAAAAACATCAGCCACCCTAGTGCCTCTCAGGTTCTCGAGGTACAGTTATGGAAATCATCTGCATCTGGGATCGCTTTTCCTTATCACAAGGTTCGTGAGGTGTACAGGAATGACGGAAAGGAATTGTCAGCTTCCACATCTGCTCTTGTCTATAAGAGCCAACTCCTTGTTGGAACTTTATCTACTAACATGCTATATTGTGAAGTGAAGTACTATTGATTCGTCAGAAAACTAACTGCCAAAAAAGGCAAAGAGTGATGTGCTTGTTTCCCGTAGAGCATGCTGAGTTTCAAGCACGTTCATCAACGGTAGAAGACCCCTAAATTCGTGATACAAACGTTATATAACCAAAATGTGGGATAATATAAGTTAGTGTACTTTTTCTACCTTAAGCTGTTCATATGCAGCTCCCCCAGAAGTGCCCCAGAATCAGAGGACTTGAAAAATCGCGTGATTATGTTGTTATAAATAAATTCTTACGATGATGAATTGTCTGTTGTTATTAATCCTCATTAATAGAGTCTCAGACCGCAGTAAAGTCTTTAAGCCATTATTTTGCGTTTCTTACAGTTGATCAGGGGGACTCAAAGGTTTTGACAGCGAAAGTCTAATTTGTAAGTTCAAAAGCTTGGCTGAACGAAGAACATACGAATGTCACACGAAGCGTAGCTACCTCTATCCTTCAATCTTTCTTTCCTCTTACGCCAGACCATTTGTAGACCTCTAGCATTTTCTCTTAACTCGCCAGCTCAAACTTCGCGAGCTCCGTTGCTCTTGTCTCAGCTACAGTCTGAAACATCGATCAAACGACTGTGCATGTGCAAACTTTGAAAGAACATTCCCGTTCCCCGAGTCCCTGATCACGATTAGTCAAAACGTGTGGCTCTGGGGACGAGAAAAAGAGATCGCCAAAATGGCGGCAGGATGATGTGAAAAGCCAAGTTGTCTTACAAGGCTTAAAAATTAATCCCATCACACCCACTGGTATGTTTAGACAGAATTATTTAAGTTTAATAACGGTAGCTATATGTAAAGGTGATTTCAAACAGTATCACTATCCTAACAAAGGCAACTTTTTACAAAGAAAGTAAGCAAACAGCTAGTCGTACGATTTATTTGTAAAACAAAGCATTAGTCCCAGAAGGGACTTATAGTGTTGGTTATTGTTTTCTTTCAAGAAACGACTGTGTCATCTATCTAATAGCAAGTAACTTGTACGTTAACATACTAAACAGACCAAACTGTCGAACCAACCACAAATGAATCAGCTGTAGAGCTGTTAGAGTCCGGAATCAAACAAATCGTGTCGAGATCACGGCTCTGCCATTAGTCACCTTGTGAAATCATTCCCCACACAAAATGATTTTTGCAATGTTTCTTTTGTATAGATGGATTTTCAAGCAGAGCCTCGTCAAGTTAGCTTCCTCAGTGATCATAACTACTGGATTTCGTGTGGTATGTACGCCCTGGAATATTAGCCAGCTCTTATTGACAGCTGGATTTACGCAACCTGTAGATTATTACAGAACTTGTCAAGATCTTGCTTGCTTCCAGAGCGATTTTAAGCCATGTTTGCGGTGTGTTACTCAAACGATTGACTGTCTGGATCTAGACCTCATGTGTGCATGATTACCAGACAATGCCACCTTTTGCATTGAATCTAGCAGCTGCAATGAGTGTGATCAAAAAACAGGGTCATGTGTGCACCTGTCACACTTTGCAGACTATAACTATACTTGTGAGAGTAAAGAACAGAATGCAGAAAATAAAATATTCAGAGTCATTACATGTTAATTACTGGAGAATAATAATAAAAAAGAAACCAAAAAGACAAGAATGATGACAACAGCTACAAATTAATTGGTATAAAACAGAAGAACAAAAAACAAACGTGATTAAAACCCCCAAAAACAAAACAAATGAAAGAGCATAAAGGACTAAAGATATTAAAGAAAAATAAAGCAATTGATCCCAGACCTCAATATTAGGAGGTAAACCCTCATATGATTTCCTGATCCCTAAATTCATGGCTTCATCCTTGCAGGAGTGGTAACCCTTTACACCCTAACATCCAGTATGCATATTCTTCATACTTTACTTTATACATTTCCTGAGATGCTGACTAGGAGAATTTGTTTAACAATCATGAGCTTCATCAGCTGGAGATCATTTCTTTTATTCTCATGACTTTAAAGTGTGATTCAGTGTGATATTGTAAGGAGAAATTATATGCTGGCCATTCCTAGGGGTCAAATGATTAGTAGGAGTAGCCAATACACCCAGTCATTCCTTGCCACTGTAACCAGGATACACCCTGAAATGACAAGTCACTCCATTACTGTACAGACTTTGACTTTTGATTTCTTAGAATCCCCAAGAGCCAATGGATTGATATCAGAGCAAATGCAAGCATTAGATGGAATTATCCTGGATTTCATGAAAGAACAAGATATTCCTGGGGCTAGTGTGGCAATAAGTAGAGGTGAAGAACTGATATACTGTCAAGGTAAATACAAACTGGAAAGAGACATGTTAACCTTTTCAAACAATTTTTGTATTCTACAAATGGGAATTAAATCAACATACTTGTAGGAAAAGAAAGCTTTGAAATTGAAATCCAGCTTGCCCTTCAGAATTGGAGTGAAAATTGTTGCTTGTCTCTCATCTGAGATAAAATGAATATTAAAGATTCTTTGCCAAATTTTCCTTTTTTTCCACATCCTGTGCAAACAAGGCCTAAGATTAGATTTACCATTAGGTAGAAGGTTAATACTGTAACCCCTAAGACTGGCCAGCATCCATTTTCTGCTAACAATTTCATCCCCTAGTCAAAAGGGAAGGAAGGAAGCTCTTGATTGTTAACCCCTGTAACTCTTATAATTAAGTGAACAAATCCAAATTTCTCATTAGTATGTCAAATAGAAAAGTGATGAGTATAAGGAAAAGACCAATAAGGAGATTATTAGTTGATCCAATACAAAATTCTCAGAACTAATGTCATAGAAATTGTATGGTAGACAGTAAGGAGAATTACTAATGAGATCTTGGGAGTGAAAGGATCAAACAATTCTCCTTTTCATAACTTCAGAAAATGTATACAGAACAGTATGGAGAATGTACACACTATAGTCGGGTTGTAAAGGGTTGAAGCTTGGTATTGTAATCAGGTTGGGCACCAAAGAAACAGGTTTTATTAAGGAGGGCAAAGGATTTGAAGGGATGCTCCACTGAATTTTTTCTCAAATGCAAACAATGATGGGTAAAACTAAATTCTCAGGGTAGACCAGAAAGAAAAAGAATTGCAACAGTCTGTTGAATGTGTACAGTCCTATTCAGGCCCCTTTTGACTTTTTCATTATTAGGCTATGGCTGTGCAGGTGCAGGAAGGAAAGTGCAACCAGAGTTAATGTTCAGAATTGCTAGTATCAGCAAAACAATTACTGCTGTTGGTGTTATGAGACTTGTTGAAGAAGGGAAATTGTCTCTGGAGGATAAAGTGTTTGGTCCAAAGGGTAATCTCCTTTTTGTTGGTTTGAGGAAAACTGTGAATCAGTTTAAAGTATAGTTTGATCTCCATTTACATTCTGGAGTGTTATCAGCATTTTGATTTGACGCTTTTTTGTTGAATAATTTCAAGTATGCAGCAAACAATCTTGAATTCAGTAATGATTGTTTAATGCATCATGGCTAGTGCTATCACTGTTTAATCTATAAAATCTTTAATCCATCTTTATTTTTCCTAAATAAGCAATATATTCATATTTACATATTTTATGATTATATTTATTTTCAAGGAATTTTAAAGGAGCACAATCCCACAGATATTGGTGATATTCGACTCTTAGACATCACACTGAAACACTTGCTTCATCATTCAGCTGGGTGGGACAGAGACAGGGCTGGGGACCCTGTGTTCTGGAAAGTTGGAAAACATATGAATGTTGCTGAACCTGTGGCACCTTGTGTACTAATACAGTATATGATGGGAAGAAAACTTCAGTTTGCCCCAGGTGATTACAATCGCAATGGAGTAGTAGAGGAATTACCATAAGCACTGGTGTATAAGCCACACTTTCAGATAAGCCACACCCTGAGTTTCACAACTCAAACTTTGGACTAAAAGTTTTTGAAAAGAAATCAAAAGGAGTAGATGGAAAAATACATCAGGAGTCTTAAGAAAGTTGCCTTAAATTCTTTACCTCATGAAAATAAAGATTTATTACCAAGTAGTATTTAGCTGCTTAAGGAAGGCCAAGAAGGTTTACTGCCACTCAGTAGCAAGAAAGATGAGGTTATGTATATCAACAAAAATGTTTCTTTAACGAGCCACTACACTTGGAAAAGCAAAGATCAATTTATTTTCTTGTATATTTTATAAATTTTTAATGGATAGTGTCAATTTATGCAAATTTGTGGCACATTTTCAAGATGCCATACCCCTGATTTGTTATATAAATTTTTGGAAAATTGGTGTGGCTTAAACACTGGTGTCATGTTATTGTATATTATTTAAAACTCAGTCCAGTTTAAATAGTTCACATCTCATAGTATCTCTGCCATCTGCATGAGGGAGAAGAAGTAGTGTAGAACTTTACTCTCTCTTCCATCTCATTTCTGTATTAGTTGGGAGTTATTAATACTGAATTGGATGGATATGGGGTCATTTTGTGCTTATCTAATAGCAATATCTTATAACACCCCTGATAACAAAAATCAGAATCATTTTATTCCCCTTTTCTTTGACAAGAGAGGGCTTCTTCTTACACAGTCAAGTGAAAAGTCACTGAACTGGATCTTTTCATGAGGTGACTGGACATTACAAAGTATATGCCTAATTAATTTAAAATGCTGTAGATGCTGAAATATCAGTGGTATGAATAATTGTGATCAAATTAATTCAGAATTCTGCAGGAAAAACTATGATTTATGGTTTAGCTATATTATCCACATGTATGATAAGCTGCCTTACTCCTTCATCCTTTTTATCACAGATAGTTATCTGAGTGTGTACCATTTTGCAGTCACATACATGTGATTGTGTTGAACTTAATTCCTGTTTCATTGTTTGATTGTCTATTTGTGCATGTTATTTTGTTCTGTTGTGTTTTATTTTTAAATTGATTTTTTTTCTTGGAAGGGAGAAGACATGCCTATTCCAATCTTGGTTATACAATTTTGGGCCAAGTCATTGAGAGAGTGACTGGTCAAGGATATGAAGAATTTATGACGACTCTTTTGAAGGCCGTGGAAATAAAGCAAATGAAAATTGGTAGAACTCGCAAGAATGAACTCAGTGATGAGGAGGTAGATTTATCTTATTCCTCCCACTTTCATAAAATTATTCCCGACCTTCCCCACATCCACCTCCCACAGTTAGAATTTTGCGTGGTCTAGTCCCGGCTGGGTCATTGATTTGCTCTCTTACACCGGACACTGTGCTCCCGCGGTGCTTCCATTCAGGACTACAAATTAGTTAGCGGCCTTAAAGACTAGAGGACCACTGAGGTCCCCCCTGTTGGAAGTCCGTGAAGAACGAGGGTTAACGAAATTAGGGCCGTCATTGAGCTTAAAAGTAGACGGCAAATAAAACAATTGTGGTGCTTAGTCATCCTTACCGCTTTTTTATTTCCTCAGATACACGCAAAACTAGGAACTATTCAGTCACAAAAGTGTCAGGCGTGTCCTTTGAGCGTGGGATTGATTCTCACATATAAGCCTCTTGATGGTAAATTGTACTTTCAATTCCGCTCAAAACAAAGAAATGACTGCCGCACAAATTTCATCGTTGATGTTTCAGTAATTTGTAGATTTTTTCTTCGGTGAAGGATGAGGTGAAAATCACCGTCAGACTAGCTCGGGGTTTTGGCCGGCTACCGGCTCCCATTGACAGCCCTGCATGATAGTTTGGCACTGTTGTGATTCACTGAAATGGTTCTATACTCAGTAGTTTTACCTTAATGGGTGGGTAGCTTTTATTGGACGGATTGGGAAAATTTAGACTCACCAGGTTGCTAGATATTGACTTAATCCTTTCTCCACATGTTTTTCCAGGTGGAATATTTTCACAATCGTCACCCCAGGATGGTGAGGTCGATATTTCCTGACGGCTGTAAAGTACCGCCACAGTACGGAAGGTGGACCATGGAAGAAGCGGACGCCCACGGGGGTTGGATCGCCACTGCTTCTGAGCTGTTAAAGTTTCTCCTCTCCTTAGAATCGGGTGTTAATGGAAAAAGAATCATCTCACACGAAACTTTCCAAAAAATGCTCGATAAGCCGTCATTTGAGAAGGATACAGAGGAATGGTACGGATTTGGTCTCGACATCCGGGACAATGGAAGCACTTGGGGTCACAGTGGACAGATGGAGGGTACCTCAGGTGTTTTGACACGACACTGCGAGGGGTACGCTTGGGCACTGTTGTTCAATTCTTGGGCTAAAGATCTCGATCTTGATGGACTGGTAAAGTACGCTTTGAGTAGCACTTTATGTGTATCAGTGCAGCCAAGTTTAAGCGGTGTATTTCCAAGCAGTATCACAACGGAAGATAAACGACAACTGATTAAAATAATGGTGCCAAAACACGATTTCTGGCCATTGTACGAAGATGTAAAGAGTCGAGGATTTGATTTAACATGGCTAAACGCCTATAGATTTGCGAATGCTTTATACTTCAATATGATTTTTTTCCAGAACGTTTATTTAAATTCAGCCATATCTATTTATATTGGACTTACAAAGGATGCTTGCCGAGAAAGACTGAACAATCTTGTTGGTCTACGGCCCGTCCATATCGAAACTTACGTTGATAACAACGACCTACTTTACGCTCTGCTGTTAACTTCGAATGATGGTAATGGGGTGTCGTGGACGTTAGATTTGGATCTCACCGTGGCTCAGCATCGAAAAAATATGCCTGTGATGTTTAAAAGTGGTTTTAACCTCACTGTACAGTGCTTGACCGAATACAAAGGCCGGTTGCATGTCTCAGTTCTATACGAAAAGGTCGCGAATGGCGAATGCATTGCAGAATTTGACTTGAAACCAGATTATTACCAGTTTGAATTTCACAAACAGGCAAAGGAGGGATTGATGTTATCTTACGCTAAGGCCTATCACGTGAAAGGTCAACCTCGATTTAGTGTGATTTGGACCAATGAGAAAGCAGAAATCAGTGGAACCCGACATAACGTGTCCAAATATGGGTTTTTGTTTGAACTGAGAGAAGCGGCAAAAAAGAACTTTTATGCTAAGTGTGTAAGCTGTTATAACAATGAAGATGTTCTAAACTTTTTAGCTTCTTGGAACAAATAAATCTAAACGTCCATTTTGTTCATTGAATGATGCATTTATTTTTTCAGCATTTTTGTAGGAGAGAATTGTTTGAATTGTAGCGCACCCCTACAATTGCTGAGCACCCCTAAAGCTATGCGTTCTTAACCAGAAAATTATACTAAAGTCTCTTCTGTATTATCGCAATAATTTTGAATGTACACATAGACCCTAAAGGTACCTGTTCAGTATGTCTCAAGATATTATGGGCATTACACATTTAAAAACCCATTCATCGGAGGCATATTGTCAATAATGTTTCTCGTAAATTTATTTACGACAATGCTGCAGTTTCATCTGCAATGGTTCGCTTGTAGGCAAACTATATGTCGTAGTCAGTTGAATTCTGAAGTATTTCATCAACTCCCTGAGGTTACTGCCCCAAGCAGTATCGTCGTTTTACATTTGTATTCTGTGTATGCACATAGGTAATCTTGTCAAGGTAATCTTGTAGTAGCGATCGGAACAGACATTAGATATTTCATCATTTGAGTTCCAAATCTAGAGATTGATTACTCACTGAATAAATAGTTAAATATTTTGGGTTGGCTTCTGAACACCTTTACCTCTTTAAAATGGATGTTTGCTGTAATAGGGCTCCTAATGAATATGTTCGCAAAATTTCAAACTTGAAGTGAAAGATATAAGTGCGAAGAAAGGTCTTGTAACTCCCTGCCCAAGAGTGGCGGCATCTCCCGGGGGAATTCCGTGATCACTTACGTCCGAGTGTCACCGAGTTTTTCGTGACATCTGCCGCCAGAATCACGTTCAGTTACCCGAGGACTCAATATCACCTCTGTGCCTGAAAGAGTATTAGCATTTCTCTCTAGTGTAATAATGTTTCTGTCCGAAATTCGAGGATATCCTTTGAACAGTCGTCCCACTATAAATTGGGGTAATTTAGCATTATCGACTGAGTTGATAACGTTAATTGGCCGCCGTAAAGAGTTAAAAAGTTATCGTTTCGAGCGTTAGCCCTTCTTCAGAGCGAATGACGAAGGGCTAACGCTCGAAACGTCAGCTTTTAAACTTATTACGGTGGCCAATTTACGTTATCAACTTAATACTCTCCCGACGCAGAACCACAGAGTTTTAAGAAATTTACCCCTTTATCCACTATAAATCAGTTTAGTTCAGATTTAAAGTTTTAAGTACTCTGTTCGCTTGGGATCTTTTGTACATGTCATTGTTGACATGATGATCTAAAGACAACAAGATCCTATTCACGCATGATATATTATAAGAACTGCGGCGTTCAAGATTTGTCCTTGCGAAATACGAAATCCACGGGTGGGACGGGTGTGGCTGGCCCTCTAATGTATCTATGCCTATTGCGAGAAATATCCTGGTACATCCAAGAACGATCAGAAAACATGTTCAAATTGGGACAGGTGTGAATATTGACTGTGCCTTCTCTTCTTTCACGGGGCAACGAGGTAGTGTTAGCATGTGTTCCCGAAATTGAATGGCCAGTGACTTCGCTTATAATTTGTTTCTTCACGCGCAGTGTCGAGGGTGGTAAAGCTGGCAGTGGTTTCTTAACAAACGACTGGACTTTTGTTTTTAATTCGTTATTTTCCGACCTGGTACGAGTTTGAAGCTGATGCACCATCGATACTTTTCGGGACGCTAAGTCGCCAGGTTCAGATCGCGTTCGTAACCGTCCCATAACAACAGTGATGGACTCGAAGTCACCTTCTTCAGCGACCGATGGAGGCGAGAGTTCAAAATCATGTCCATTAGAGTTCTGCTTAGAAACTTGGTGGTTTTCATAATATGTAGATGTCAATGGGTCCATATCCAACGGAGCGTCAAATTTGTCGGATGCGCTGTCATGTCGGGCCAGTTTAAAAACAGCATCCCTACCGAAATTTTGATTTTGCAATGTTGTTCCTCTGTCGGTTGGTTCCAAATCTGAGCGAGAAGCAAACATTGATAAAGGTTTCAGAACCATAATTGGTGTCTCGTGACTTCTCAAGTGATGCTCCATTGACTCCCCGATCAAAACAGGAAGTTTAGTTTCCTCGGTAACATCAGTGTGTGTGCTATCAGTTGCTTTGTTTCCACTTACTTTTCGGCCCCACTTTCTCTTAGTGTTATCTTCAAATATTTGTAGCTTCAAACGTTCTAGTTTACTCCTTTGCTTGTCTGTCATTCTCGTTGTATCCTCTGCCTGGCTGTCTGAAAAACTTCTATTTCGAGTGATCTCACGATCCGGCATTTTCAACAGAGATAAACCTTGAATGGAAGCTTGGAAACTTGCTCTGCGAGCGGGAAAATGCGACAGACGTTCTGTATTTTCATCTACCCCATTTTTCACCGCATTACTGCGATGAGACGAACAAGAGGAAATTAATCGATTATTTGATTCTCCATGTTTGCTCACCCGAGACATGGGTGGAAATGTCATCATTTCAACGGCCCTGTCGCTTTCAAAGAACCTTTGACCACTGTTTCGTGTACTAGCCATTGTTTCTTCATCAAAACCCCTTCCACACCAACTTAAACCATTCTGAGGCATAATTGATCCCGAGTCTTTTTCACCTCCGTCGCCGGACCTCCTTCTTCCAAGTTCCGTCGGGTCAGTTTTCTTCCGACTATTTGAGAGCTGTCGTGTCAACATGGCTTTATGGCGATGAGTGTCGCTCACTCTTTCGTCGGTGGACTCCTGAGCTAAAGTTACTGATTGTTATCTACGTGATATTCAGTTTAACGACTACATAAATAAGAATTCTTTTCCGCATTTTGACTTTCGATACTCTCTTCGAATCTTCCCAATGTTTACGGCCGCTTTATCAGAAGCACGACTCACCCAGATGCCCTGGATGTAACGTTTTCTCTGTTAACGACCAAAATCAAGCAGAAGCATTAATCCGATATTTTCACTCCTGCCGAGAGACAAACGCTGTTCAAGCACTCTTTTGTATAATTACTCCTTACTGCATGAATGCGTAAGAAATTGATTCCGCGCGATTAGCGTCTTAGCAAATTAAGTCCCGATTGGTAAACACATAATTATAAGTCACGATAGGCGGATAATTAAGGAGTTCGCATTATTCTGTACATACATCAGAGCAGCTGTCAGTACGTGTCAGTGATCTGTGGATTGCGTCGCTTCTATCAAAAATGACAACCACTCTTTGACTCGGACGGTGGTGAGCAGTCATAAGAAGTTTGAGAAATTTTGCCTCCCTGACTAAGACTACATGTTGTGTAAACCACAGGATGCCACATTTGGCGTATTTCGACAAAATCTTTATTATAGGATTTGAAAACAAATTTTAATACCAAACGTGATCTACCGCAAAGGTTACTCCCATTTCAAAACTTTTTCCCTAAGAAAGACACAATTTTTGACACGCTGAAAAGTGAAATTGTACACCACACTAAGATAGTCTCAGCATGTTATCGACCACTGCTCTAATCTTGCTTCTCTCGCTGGAATCGGGAAGGAACGACGATTAGGCTCTTTGACTGATCTTATTTGGAGGCACATACCTTCCTAAGGTCAAGTAGTTGAGTGTCCTCCTCTCCACATCCCGTTTTGCCAGCAACTAAAGTTTTTCATTTTTTTTCTTGAGCTCATTGTTCTTGTAAACCTGAGTGAATCCAGTTAAGATCTGTAGAAAAATAGAAAACAAAATCTTTCTGACCAAAAATGCGAACATTTTACCAGGAGAATATGTTCATACTTGATTGAATTATTATTACAAAAATGCACGCTTGCCCATCATCTGATATAAAGATTCCAAAATGCGCTTTCTGTCGCCGCATGGTGACCTTTTAACATCAATGTAAACGACGCTAAAGTTTGTACGAAGTAAGAAAACATTCAAAACGTTCAATTCTACCGTCTGTATGTATTTAGTAATTTACTTTTGTTTATGGAAAACTGCTTGATTAAACAAAATTAATTCATCCCATTATGATAGGTAAACAGTAAAAAAAGGTGTATGTCATGAAAAGGCAAGAGCGACCTGCACTTAATGAAAGTTACAGCTGGGGCAGGTATGAGGTGCCTCATCTTCTGCAAAGCAGGTCTCTAAGCGTTCGCTCAAAAATACTTTAATTCACGATTTGCGATTATGCAGTAACTTACAAGGCTTATACTGAATTGTCACTTAAGGTTAAGTAATGATGACGAAGAAATGACTTTTTTGCTCTAATACCCTTGTTTCTAACAATATTTGAGAGTATGAAAAGGTAAAATTAAATGATGTATCTTTATGCGTTTGATAGCTACCACTGACAAATTTAAAGTCGGCGCGGTTACGTAAGATTTAAGATGGCGGCAGTCGTGTTCGACTTCGCAAAAGGGAGAAACTCATTTCTTTTCGCTTTTCGCTCAGTTAGATGCTATTGTAACTCTAACTGTTTCATCACGTATCGTAGTATTGCGCCTCTATCAAGGCAGTCGCAAAATTCAAACCTTTCTATCAGGAGACACTTTTGGTCTTCGAGACAAGACGATTTAACCCGAGCTCTCTCGGATGCCGAGAAAATTGTTGGCTATCCGACCTCATTCCTTAATTTACGATACCTGTTGAACGATGAGATCTCTAACATTGCCATGTATATGAAGAGGTTCGCCATGAGCAAGCACCCCATGCTTCGAACGGCTCGAGGCTTCGTTTCGGACGACAACCAGACGACGCAAACTCGAGGACTTTTAGTGCTTCTTATGTCTAAGGCCTCTCGGTCATGTTTGCAAGACGAATGGAAGATGGATCAGGAACTGGTCGCTGATATTCATTCAAGCCAAAGACAGCTGGCCGACATAACCGAAACTATACACACAGGTGATTTGTGGCGGTTTCTCTTTGGTATTGTTTTGATTTTTAATTAAACATGACTGTGTAATGTTTGCTCACAAGAGTGACTAGTGCAGCTCAAAGGCATGGAGCTAGTAAGATTACCGCTACCGCTCTTTAATCGACGAAAGGCCAATTACAAGTTTCCCTCCGTGTTTTATCAAGTTTCTCTCTGGGTAGTGAGTCACTGATAGTGTCACTGTCTTACCCAACAACACAACATAGAGCTCAAGTAATAACTACAACCCAGACCTTTGATCCTGAGTCGCATATTTATTGATGTTTCCCTGATGAAGGGCCAGAACCCCAAACATCAGCTTTGAAACTCTTTATGGTGGCCAATTTACGTTATAAACTCAGTCAATAATACTAAATTACCCTGTTATACTCTCCCACCAACACAGCACCACAGTTTCTTTAGAAACTTACCCCCTTTATCTCATATTTATTGTTTAGTTCAGTACAATTGGCTAGCTTATTTAGGATAGCTTGCTTGCAAGTCATAAAAATTCTAGTGACATCTATGAATTTTTTAAGTGTGTCCCTCCATAGTTGTGTTGTTGGAGCCATGTTACACATGAAGATATTACTAACTAGGGAAAGTATCTATTGTTATCTATCCCAACAATATGTACCTGGGTGCTCTATCTTAGAGATCTCTCAGGAGTGGTTTTGGGTTTAAATATTCAACAGGAAGTTACAATTCAACTAAGTCCTTGTTCTCCCATCTTTCAAATACCTGCTGATTCTGCGTTTACATAGTAGTTATTCACTTCTCTGTAGTTATCAGGGGAAAGAAACTTTTTCTCAGCAGAGGATGTCTAAAAACTATGTTTTTGCGAAAAGAGATTTTGAATGCCATTATGCAAATGCCCAGGAGTATTCTGGACCTCCCTCTCCATGGCCCCCCCACCCCATGCCAGGAATTGCTCCTGGTAAGTGCATCACCTACACTTGTTTTAAACTGCAAAAACTTGACTAATATGTCACTTACAATATTCTTTTATGACAGCCAACCTGGTGCATACAGGAATTGTTGATTTAGCAAGTATCTCTTCATCCAGCAAGTCTTATCAAGATGACATGGAATTTGGTAACAAGATGGCAGTGTTAAGTGGTGACTTTCTTTTAGCCAATGCTTGTACAGGATTAGCAGAACTTAAAGACACTGAAGTCGTTCAAATGATTTCAGAGGTAATTGGACATTTGATGGAAGGTGAATTCCTGAAAATCACATTTAATGCTGATAATTTGAACTTGGAGTTTTGGAGTGAGTTATCATTCAAATGTAAAGGAAGCTTGATGGCAAACAGCTGTAAAGCAGCTTTGAAAATTGTTGGTCACTCAGCTGAGGTGAGGATTGATTTATGTCATTGTGGTGATAGTGTGGCACTTGACATGTTTATGTATTTGAAATTTTTGCATCAAACCAGTCATAGTGTCATCATCTGCTATCAACTCACACTTACTATTACAGCCATTTCACCTCCAGATCTCATTAATAATTCTGCTTACTGTCTACCAACCAATTCGTATGATGTTAGTTCAGAGAATTTGGTACTGGATCAACTAATAATCCCCTAATTGACATTTCATTTCATTCTCATCACTTGTCTGCTTGATATTGTATTGATTATTGTAAGGAGAAATTCTGTCTTGGTCACTCATGGGAGTTAAGGGTTAAGGGATTTGAGAAAATGTTACTGCTATTCTAAGGAGGTAACATCAAATACCAGTGTTTTGTTGGCTTGTCTCAGGCCCTCTGAACCATCAAAACCACAAACTATGTGAACTTTTCAGAAATATTGGACTATGGTGAAAAGTTCACATCATTATTAGATATTTGCATTTACACATAGTGCAGCCTAATTCAAAATGTATGTTGAGTTATGAATACTTGTCATGTGTGGTGCTATGTAAATAAATGATGTACATGTACACATAGTTATGGGTCTTCTGTGTTTACTTGTTTCATGGTTCAAATGCTTTCCCACAAACAAGAAATGTAGCTTTCCATGTTGAGGGTATTCAAAACAAGGGAAATCAGCTTAATTGTTTGAAATTGCCAGACTATGGAGGCAACGCCTACCACATTATTTGAAATCAAGTATTTCCAATGTGAGTCTACAAAGTAAAGGCCTAGAGGTGACTTTTTGGTGCTTATCTATTCTTTTCAAATAATCTAGTAAGTAATTTCTCTCTATTTCAGCTTCAGGAAACTGCATTTGAATTTGGCAAAAACATTGGTTTCGCTCATCAGTTGAAGAAAGATCTTC